AAATCCATTTTCATACCCTAGCCTCTAATAGATAACATATATTCATAGAATTTTCAAAGTTAGAAACAGAGGTAACCTAGGCTGACTTCCCAACATAATAATCCTCTCCACTAAATTCATGACCAGCCGTCATCCAGCCTCACTTGAATGCTTCCAGTGAGCAGAGGCCTACAGCCTTAGAAGGCAATGCAATTTATTTAATAGCTCTAATCGTTAGAAAATTTTCTCATATGGAGATAAAATATGCTCCCCATTAACTTCCAACCATTGGTCCTAGTTCTGTTCTCTGAAGCAATAAAGGGTAAGTCCAATTTCTATTCCATATGACACCGCTTCAGTTACAGAATAGCTATCAGATCCTCGCTGTCATCTCTTTTCTGGATAAACGTCCCCAGTTTGTTAAACTATAAATTCTGTTCATTTTCATTATTTTTCAAAGAAATGAACTAGTTTTATCAATGTCTCTTTTGAAATGTAGTGACTGAACATAAGGCTTCAAATGTGATCTACCCTGAAAGTTTCCTTGTTGTGATACTGAACTTCCAAACAGGTGAACTGTGAATCCATGCCAGCTTTTACAGTTATGCTGGATTGCAGAGTCACCATACTGACAGGCAGAAACCCTTAGGGGCTTTTCCACACTGTCCCTTGGGTGTCCTCATCCTGTGCTACAGTGTACTTAGTTTTTCCCACTGCTGAAGCTTAGCCTTAAACTAGACAGGGCTGGAGAACAAGCCTAGGAATTTCTACGTAAAGGCATCTCTTTCCCTTGTCCTCAATTTCTTACATTTTTGTGATTCACTTATTAAATAGCTAGCTTATGAGCTGGTTTTATTGTAAGTTCTTGTGTATTCTTGTTTATAATAGAAACAATTCGGTACGTAACTTATTTGAATGTTGAGCCTGCCTGTACTGACCTCATAAAAAACCTCATGGTATTCTCGTGGATAATCTAAAGCAGTGGTTCTCAAACTTCAGTGTGCCAGGAGGGCTTGTTAAAACACAGATAGCCGGGCCCCACTCCCAGAGTTCTGATTTATTAGGCCCTAGGTGAGGTGAGAATTTGCATTCCTAATAAGATCCCAGGTGACACTGACATTGCTGATCCAGATACCACACTTTGAGAGCTACTGACAAAGAAAGATGGATTTAGTGACCAGGTGGATTCAGAGCAGTCTTAAAACCAAATTGAGAATGCATGTGGATAACAGTTTGGAGGAGGAGACTGAAGCAAGAAGCTAACAGAACTCATGCTGGTTCACTTCAGTTTGCTTTCAAGATAATCTGCTGAAACTAAAGGCTGAGTTAGGGACCTTGAGGAGAGAAGGTACATGTTTGAAATGGTCACTGTGGGGAGAACAACTATAATTGTGAACCTGTGTCTTCATCTCCATTTTTCTACCTTATGCCAGGCCTTGACTAAGTACTTAACATACATTATCTCATTTAATCCTCACCGAAACTTTAAGTGCTGGTACCCTTCTGTTACATAACATGACACAGAGCAAATTTCACACACAAAATTGGAAGCCCCAACCAAACCAGCACACATCTTCAAAGGCTGAATTTTTTAAAGCCAAAAGCTAAGTTATGGAATGCATAACAGACTTTCTTGTAAAGTCTGTTGTATTAGATAAAAGATTAGAAAATTCCTTTAATACTGGACAACATGAATTTGTCGTAACAAATCTTACGTTTTTAATAATGAAATTTCACTGCTACAGAACTGTTGGTTAATAAGTAAACCCTTGCTCTTAAGAATTTCTTGTTAAATACTGTAAGGGAGATGACTGTTCTTTAGTCAGGAGTAGGCTAAGGTAGCTTTCCAGTGCAGCATAACTCAGCGGGTTTAGAGCATGGGCGCACAACTCTGTGCATTATGTAACCACACCACGTGAGGTGCATTAGGTGATCACCCATGTGAGCTCGTGCTTGGCTTGGAGCCACTATTGTCTGTAAAAGGTATAATTACCCTGCTAACGCTGTGCATATGGCTTATGCCTGGGTCGGCTTGTGCCCAGGCTTGCTTGCACCCAGAGAGAGAGCAAAGCCATGTTGAAACTGATTCCTCGAGTGTTTTTCCAGTTACCTGGCACTGGTCTACCCACTCCCCTTTGTCCTCAGCTTGGGCTGAAACCTAACACTTGGCATGAAATTGGCATCATGAACAGGATACCGAGGAGAGTGAGCCTTTGTTCCCTGCTGATTCTGGGTCAACCATGTGGCTACAACATGGGTTGTGGTGCCCAGTGGCAGCTGTACTGCTTGGATGGGCTCTGGTGGAAACCTGGGCAGGAGTAATTGGGTCCGCCACAAGCGTGGAGAAGGTGCTGAAGCAGCTAGAAGCACAGAGCCCTGAGAAGCAGCGAGCTTTTGCTAGCAGAATTGGATGGGTGTTTTTTGACTGTGCTAAGAGAAGTACACACCCATTCCCTGAGGGGTACAGTAGAGGCAAGGGCCCTCCAGGTACACATGGGGTGCCTGAAGGGCCAGCTACACAGCTCAGAAAAAGAGGTCCCCACGAATGGGGACCTCTAGGCACAGGTGGGGTGCCTGGAAGCCCAGCTACAGAGCTTGGAAAAGGAATTAGAGGCTGCTGTGGATGCAAGCCTGGGTCCATCATCTCGGCCAGAGACCCCCACTTGGTCTGATGCCAAGGAGGCTGTCCGTGGAATCAAGGGGTCCATGCTGTAAAGAAGAGGAAGATGCACCACCCACATGGGTTCCCCAAGTGGGAGAAAAGGGGGCCCCAATGAGTGACACACTCACAGATGTGAATAGATTTGATTTTGGCCAGAGTTGACCAAGAGAAAATTGATAAGCAGCCCAATGAAGTACTCTTAACTTTGTGGAGACAGTTGTCTCTGGAGCAGAAATTCCAGAAAATGCCCAAGTGGGAGAAGAATGTTGCTGTATGACTTGGTCCCGCCCAGGCGCTCCAGCTCAAAGACTCTACTGCAGACAGGCAGGGGTGAAAGTCTTTTCTCTTTGATAAGGGAACTGGCCAAGGTGCTCGGCTTGGGGAGACACTGGATGACTGGACGCTACATGTGAAATTAGCGATCCACTGGTCTCCCACCAATGCACAGCAAGTGCTGGCTGATAGACACCAGTGCAGATACATTCTGGGGTTAGATATTTTACAGAGCTTGACAGCTGTGCTGTCCATCATGGACTCGATGGACCACTTAATGGAACTGGGACAGTACGGGCTAAAGCAGTGTTTTACAGAGAGCCTGGAATAGTTTGCCTTCATGGGAGAATGACAGTGGACTTTCACAGTACTGCTGCAGGGCTTTATGCATGCCCTACCATATGTCATGGTCTCGTTAATGATGTTATGCTAACCTCTGATTCTCTTGAAGATTTAGAAGTGGCAGCACTCCCCTTGCCTAAAATTAAGATGGTGTGGCTGAGACCACCTTCCTGGCAGCCAAGAGGGCCATTTAGCAGACATAAGGCCTAAGGGTAGTTGACTTTGACTGGGGCGCCCGTTTGAGCTGGATGTATATGTGACCACAGATAGTTTTGGCCGGGGCCTGTAGCAGTGCTTGGAGCGCTTGAGAACACTGGCAGGTTTTTGGTCCCAGCTGTGGAAGGGAGTTGAGCCCCAGTGTTCATCTATATAGAAGCAGTTTGCAACTCATTTGCTGCCCTTCGGGCTCATGAGAGCATGGCAGGATGGGCTACAGTCATTGTGCATACAATTTACCTGATAATGTGATGGGTGCATTCATGGATAACTAACCCCCCAGACTGGGACAGCACAGACAGCCACTTTGGCAAAGTGAGGCACCTACTTGGAGCAGCAGAGTACACTGAGTACAAGTGCCTTAGCAGCAGAGTTGCAGGAGGTCTTGGGACCTGTAGTCCTAATGCAAGATAAGGCCATGGTGCCTGAAGCAACCCTCCACCTTGAGCCATCGCTGTTTAAGGAAGGGCATCCCCCCATTCCCAATGGGGCATGGTACACAGATGGGCGTAGCCAAGGTGCTGCTGCTGCCTGGACTGCTGTTGCATTCCAACCTAGTACTGACACCATATGATTTGAAACCAGATGTGGGCAAAGTAGCCAATGGGCTGAACTTAGAGCAGTGTGGATGGTGATCACTAAGGAGGTGACACCTATGGTAATCTGTACTGAGAGCTGGACAGTTAACTACCTAGAAGTTACAAAGGTGGCTAGTTGGTCACCAGGCCATGTGGCAGGACCTAGAGGAAGAAGGATGACCTCCTCCAACCAGGTATAGGGACGAAAGGTAACCTGTTGTTGCCTGCCCCAACACCTTTAAAGGTAGGGGAACAAAAAAACTGGCTTAATATATAAAGCAACATTGTGGTGATGTCATTATGGAGTGGTTGTCCACCATAACCTGGAGCTGTTGCTTTTTTATTGTTATGTGTTACGAATTCAGGGGTCCAACCTATGGGCACGTGTCCCTGCCCAGAGGGCACCCTTGGCCAAGGGAGTGGAGTGTGAAGGAGATGGCTGTGCTTTAGTCAGGAGTAGGCCTATGTGGCTTTCTGGCACAGTGTGACTTAACGGGGTTGGAGTGCAGTCACAGAATTCTGCACAGTATGTAACCATGCCATGTGAGGCGCATTAGGTGATCACCCACATGAGCTGGTGCTTGGCTTGGAGCCATTATCTGTAAAAGATAGAATTACTCTGCTAACTGTACTAAAAACTGTGCTAAAAAACTGTACATATGGCCTGCACCCAGTTTGGCTTGCATCCACAGCTCACTCCCAGCCTTGCTCACACCCAGAGAGAGTAGAAGCCATGTCGAAACTGTCTACAATCCTCAAGTGTTATTCTAGCTACCCACCACTGGTCCACCCACTCCCCTCGGTCCTCAGCTTGGGCTGGAACCTGATACTTGGCATGACAATACTTTAACTCCTATATTGGCATCAGCTTGTTCATGTATTGGTTAAAAAATCCTAATGTTGACTAATTTGAGTAAATTTTCTTTCTGCTTTAATTTTTAACTTTCTAGGTAGATTATGATAATCATGCACTTTATAAACATGGAAAGACAGGTCGAAAACAGTCTCCTGTGCGTATTTTCACCAACATTCCACTCAACAAAATAATCCTTCCTACTGAAGAAGGGTACAGGTAAGATCACAGTGGAACATAGAAGTACCTGAGTCACTGAAAATGAAGTTACATATATCTATCATTAAAATGCTTTCAGTATTAAATTATGTTATTCTATGACTTTTAAGTTAGGTTCATAATTTCATAATGAACTGAATTCAGATTATACCCAGTTTTTGTAATGAGTGCTTTGTAAACTTTTATCTGCACTGTAAATCTCAATAAATATATGCAGCCTGTTTCTCTGTCCTTTACTCTTTAGATTTTGCTCTTTGTGTCAACGATATGTTTCTCTAGAGAATCAGCACTGTGAGCACTGTAATTCTTGCCCATCCAAGGTATGGTGTTCTTATAAAATGTATTTTTACTGAGACATAATTCATTTCATTTTAGTTTACTAGTTTTATTACTTTTTAAATATTTTTTCATATATGATTTTTCATATGTATTATCACTTATTAATTATGCTATGGTACAACATTTTAAATTACAGCATACAACAGGCTTTTAAAAACACTTAACTGCCTTCGTCATCACCAACAGTTATTTGAATTCATCTTCATATGGTATGGTGTGACTGCTAAAATGATCAGTGTTTCAAATAAGGCATTAAATGAGTGCTCAATTATGTGTATGTTGAGGGCAAAATTATGGTGTTTCGAATAAGGCATTGAGCTATTAGGTACCATCGTCATTCTGATGAAGTAATTAATAACATGTACTGTGCACTTTTAATATGCCAGACACTTTCCTAAGAGCTTTACATGGATTAACTCATTTAATCCTCACAATAGCCTTATTACATACAGTTACTCGTGATGTTTTTACAGATGAAGGACTGCAAAGGGACATACCTCCTATTTATTTATTTATTTAGGTATTATTTTTTCTTAATAGACTTGGTTTTTTAGAGCAGTTTTAGGTTCACAGCAAAATCTAGCAGAAGATACAGATTCCTCATATGTCCCCTGCCCCCACACATGCACATTCTCCCCAACTGTCAGCATCTTCCACCAGAGGGGGGCATTTGTTACAACTGATGGACCTGCGTTGACACATCATTAACACCTGGAGTCCATAGTTGACATTGGGTCCACTCTTGGTGTTTTACATTGTGTGAAGGGTATCCTTGCTACCACTGTCTTTTTACCATCTCCATAGTTTTTCCTTTTCCGGAATGTCATACAGTTGGAATCATACCATATACAGCCTTTCAAATTGGCTTCTTTCACTTAGTAATAGGCATTAAACATTCCTTCATGTCTTTTCACTGTTTGATAGCTCATTTTTTGTTAGCGCTGAATGATATTCCTTTGATGTACCACAATTTGTTTACTTATTCACCTACTGGAGGAAACCTTGGTTGTTTCCAAGTTTTGGCAATTGTAAATAAACCTCCTAATTTTGTAGGAAGGCAGGATGACCCTTAAGTTGTTTTGTTTAACTAAATCTGGTCAGAAAGGGCCTGTGAGGTTTAGATTGGCTCATAAGCACAAATTATTCTCCAAAGAATAGGCTGCATTTATGTAAATATTAGAAAGTACATTTTTCATGATCATATATTTTCCATGATTATATAATGATATTAGTGGTTATACTTGTTTTTAACAATGTTAATACATCTGATTGTTTATATTTAGTTTGTATTAGTTGAGACATGATGTGTATTCTTCATTTAAAAAAAATTATGCCCAGATTGTACAGTTTAAAGTTGAGAAAAATGAACTTCTTATTTAGAGATGCACACAAAGGTGGTGAAAGGAAGCAAGAGCAAGGAAATGACAATCACGAAAACTGGATAGGTGTTACGTGGTGGGAAAGGGAAGAATGCTGTGATTGAGCAGGGGCACGGGGGAGTTTCCAGGGGGCCGGTGGTATTCTTTCTTGACCTGGTGGGTTTCATCCATGTTTGCTTTATAATACTCATTAAATTGGGTATGTTTTATGCACTTTTCTAGATATTTTTTATTTCATAGTTTTAAAATTAATCAAACAGTAACCTATAATCTGTCTTTCTAAATTATGTAAAGCTCTCAAGTATGAATTTCATTAAGGATTATACAGTATAGACACATAAAATTATGAATCATTAATTCTCTTGAAATTTTCATTTGAGTCCTTCTTTGTGCAGATTGAGTTGCTTGAACTGGAGTGGATTTTCGAGATGATTTAGATAAATCTCCTAGTTTTACAGTGAAGGAAATTGAGGCCCATCAAGGAGGCATTTGAGTTGAGTGGAGAAATGCATAAATTAAAATCAAAGTATTTAATTGTGAAGCCCAGAAAAGGAAGAAATAGGGAATGAATAATTTACACAGATTTTAATAAGACATTTTAATTTTTAATTTAGAACCTGATTTTTAATAAGAAATTAAATATAATTAAAAAACATTTTTTTTGTAGGACGGAAGGAAGTGGAACCATTGCTTTCTCTGCAAAAAGTGTGTGAAGCCTTGTAAGTATTGATACTTAGTGTTTGAGATCCTGTGAATACATTTTAAGAGTTTTTCTCCATCTAAATAGGATTTTTCATAGAATTTATAAAGGAAAAAATAATCATTGTAGAGACTTGTAATTTATTTGCTTTTTAATTTTATAGTTATCATCATGTATGTTCTGCCTTGTTCTGCCTTGCAGGAGAGATGACTGCTAACCTGTTTCAATGTGGCATTTGGTTTTACTTATTTTAATAAGGCATTCTGTCACTCAGCCAGCCTCCATTGTGACAGTAGCTGTCAGCTCATAACTCACTGGAGAAGGGCTGAAATTGTTGCCATTTCACAGAAAGAAGTTAGCTAGTTTATGTGGAGTTCTAACCTCTTCATTTAGCCAAACAAAAACTAGCTGTGCATACTAGCCACAATTGAGTAAACACTGTTCGTATATCCTACCTTAAAGGTTAATAAGATGAAAAATTACATGAACTTCTTTTGAAACTTAATTTTTATTTTACAGCCTGGATCCACTGTAGCATTTGCAATCACTGTGCTGTTCCAGACCATTCTTGCCAGGGCCCCAAAGATGGCTGCTTTATTTGTGGCGAACTGGATCACAAACGCAGTACCTGTCCTAACATCGCTACATCTAAAAGAGCTAACAAGTCAGTCAAATACTTTACTAGAAAAATATATCCATTCTGTGTTTTATACAGGGTAATCCACAGAAGCATGCAACGAGGATTTTGAAGTGCCAGGTTAATTGTCACTTTCACTATTATGTATTGGCTACATAGATGGGCGGATGGAGGAGAGGAAGATGATTCAGAGAGCTTGCTTTCAAAGAGCTTATAGTTTTATAGCTTAGACATGAAAATAACCAAAATATGAGGTGGAAAAAACTTTGTATCTCATTAGCTTTACGTCTCATGTGTAAAGTTATAGGGGGTGACAATTCATGCTTTATTGAAGGACATGGTATTTAAGTCAGGCTTTGAGGGACAGATCAGATATAGACACAGGATGGCAGGAAAGGCTGGAGAAGGCATTTCAGATTGAATAGCGAGTACTTCCACATTAGGCAAATTGTACAAAGTTACTTCTTTGTATCAGATTTTAAGAAAAATATTTAGACATGCTTACTTAAGTATTTGAAATTTTTATTACTATTTTTTCTGTAATTATTTTCATGTCTCTTACCAATATTTGATTACAGCTATGGATTACAACTCAGTAAAGTGATACCAATGACAATAACATATTTAGAAAGGTCATTGCTTCTGGAATAGTTATCCCCAAAACAAAGCAAAAAAAAAAAAAAAAAGAAAAATGGGGCCGGGCACAGTGGCTCACGCCTGTAATCCCAGCACTTTGGGAGGCCAAGGCAGGTGGATCACGAGGTCAAGAGATCGAGACCATCCTGGTCAACATGGTGAAACCCCGTCTCTACTAAAAATACAAAAAATTAGCTGGGTATGGTGGTGTGTGCCTGTAATCCCAGTTATTCAGGAGGCTGAGGCAGGAGAATTGCCTGAACCCAGCAAGCGGAGGTTGCGGTGAGCCGAGATCATGCCATTGCACTCTAGCCTGGGTAACGAGCGAAACTCCATCTCAAAAAAAAAGAAAAACATTGCTATTTTAACCAGGCTAATTTGAATGGTTATACTTTTTTCCTAACTAGAAGGGATGATAGAATTAAGTCCTCTTGCTTTATTGATAAGAAAACTAATGTCACACAGTTATTAATTGGAAATTACCAGATAGCTAAATTTGACATTATGTGAAAATTGAGATTAGGGTAAAAATGTTGGGCTACCATATGTCTTGTGATTCCAAAAAATAGATTCATATTAGAAATATCTGATGCTTTTGTAATTATTTATGATAATATTAGAATTCTGTCTCATGTGTTTTATTTATTTGTGGTCAGTGAAAACCTTTTTTTCCCATTGTGGTCCAGCTACTTCAATTCTGGCTACTGTTACAACTGTCTCTTTCCTAAATTTACTCTATTTCAAATAATTATTTTCACTGAGTAATCCAGTATAGAGCTTTTAAAAATCAACTAAAGAAGCTTATTGAAGAATCTTATAAGATATTTTTCCTTAGAATAAACCTTCAAAAATTGAATACAGCCTCATAAACATATTGGTCTGGGACTGTTGTACCACTGACAGTGTAATTCTGAGTGAGAACAGGAGTCAGTAACATGCTCAGCCTTTAATTCTGTGAGCTTACCTGGAAACTAAATTTGCGTTTTAATACTCTATTGTAGGCTCTTCATTGCTTCCTGAATAGCCTCAGCTAGTCTGTTTGACACTAATATACTATTTCATTAGGGGAAATCATCTAGTATCTTTCAGTACTAGATTTTATTAAGTTTAATTCCAAGAACAAATCTTTTGAGATGTGGATGCCTGATAATTCTTAAATAACACTACTTTTTTTTCTCAAGGACTCCTAAATTCCTGTTAATAATTACTGCTTTCAAAAAAAAAATTATGACATTTACAAAGCAAAAGTATTTTTTTCTTTATAATAGTGAAAAATAACAGCCTTTTTAGCATACATGGCATAAAAAGGCTTTCTATCTCATGCCTTTTACAGCTGTCTTATATTCATCTGGTTTTCCTTGGTGTTAATTTTTCTTTCGTAGCTAACTGGAATGATGCTGGCTCCCTCTTGTGGTTAAAACTCATTTTATCCATTACATAAATGCCTGTAATTTAGAGGACAAATACTAGGTCAGTTTAATTTTAAGACAAAATAAAACTGACTTACAGTCAGTTCATCGCTGTTCAAAGACTTTATCTCTGGAAAGTTTTGTATATTCATAATGCAAACGAATATTTTCAAATATTTTCCTCCTGTTTTTGTTTACTGTATCCCCTAGTGAAATCTGGTTCATTTTTAGTCCTGCTTATATGTGCATGAGCCAAAGAGAAACTTAAATTTTGTGTACAGGCACACATGGCTTCATTGACTTTGCCATTAGAGATTGTACTATAGAGATTATACTTCATTAAGTTTGCTAAATCATCACTTATCAAGAAATTATCCTATTAAAAAAATGACTGGGGAAATAGATTTATATAGTATGCAAGAATCAGTATAATAGTATAAAGATGACTTTTTGTTTTAGTTTTCAACTCTACTCCTTCTGTAGACTGTTTTATTTTGAACTGATAACCCCAGTCCATAGTGCAAAATCTATATAAGAAAAAATTTAAAGTTGTCAAGCAAAATTCTTATAATGGTCACGTGGAACTGATAATAGCTAATACACCTTGAATGATTATTATATGGTTAGTAGTTTGCATATATGAATAATTTACAGTAGAGTATGTAGTATCAAGGTGATTAAGAGCACAGGTTCTGGAGTCAAGGTGGTTCTGCCAGTTCCTCATGGGATGATCATTGATTTCATAGCCTCAGTATCTTTGCCTAAAAAAAGTAAGGGTGGAGAGGAGGGGGTGATCATCACCTTTATCTCTGTCTCCCAGCTCCTTGAAGTCAACAATTATGCCTATTCATTTTTGTATTCTCAACAGCTAACTTATATGCTGAGTAAACAAAAAGTGAGGCATAAATTGAACCCATTAGGGGATGCGCTGTTTATGAAGCTCTTCTCCCAGGTTTTCTCCTGGCGAGATCAAGAATAAGCTTTTCTATGGAGAAGCTTATGAGAGGTGAACCTAACAATTGATATTGCTGGGTAATCAGGGGAAGATTCCAGGTTTGCCAGTGCTATAGCTCCAGCCTGTTCCTTGGTTCTCAGTATGATGAGTGGTATGATTCTCCTAGCTTGGAGAAAGTGAATGGATGGGCCTATAATCTTCTCAGCCACAGGTCACCTGTAACTTACTTTGGAGAACACCAGAAACTAAGAATCTGTTTTGTCTGGTGTGGTTCAGTGTTTTTAGTGGGTGAGTTCCAGCTTGTTTATTTTGAAGCTAATCTTCAAGATAAGGACCACAAAATGCTGATACCCTGTGTGGCACTTCTCAGGACTTTTGATCTTCCGAGGAAAGGAAAATCTGCAGGATGTAGGAAACGGGCCCTTTCAAGGCTTGTCAGTTTTTTCTATTGTGCTGTTTCATTTTCCTGCCTCTGCTAACTGTCCCATGCATCAGCCCCTCTCCTAAAAAACAGAATTCAAGGATTTGGAGATTGAAGTGCTGAGTTGAGCAGTACAGATGTACAAAACACTTTTTAAAAAGAAAAATCATGCTTGGCTGGGCACGGTGGCTCACGCCTGTAATCCCAGCACTTTGGGAGGCGGAGGTGGGTGAATCATGAGGTCAGGGGTTCGAGACTAGCTTGGGCAACATAGTGAAACCCCATTTCTACTAAAATTACAAAAATTAGCTGGGCATGGTGGCACACACCTGTAGACCCAGATACTCTGGAGGCTGAGGCAGGAGAATTGATTGAACCCAGGAGGTGGAAGTTGTGGTGAGCTGAGATCTCACCAGTGCACTCCAGCCTGGGCAACAGAGTAAAGTCCATCTCAAATAAATAAATAAATAAATGATAATAAAATCCAAACTCACCTGCTTTGCATTTACCTCTGTGGTGAGTTTGCCCTGACTGGCTTATTCTAAATTCGTAGTAACTGTCTTTTAAAGAAAATTGTTTTTTCTCAAACATTTTGCTTGGTCAGGCCTCTGACCGTTTCCTTGTTGTTATGGTTAGGAGACTGAGAATTTATGCTTGCAATACACTATATGCTTTCCCTTCTTCTATTTTCTTATTTGGTTAGCTAGTTAATTAAACTTCAACATAATTACATAATTCACTGTGCTCATTCCGTGAAATAATTTAGCACCTTGTTTTCCAGGGCTGTCAGAAAGCAGAAGCAAAGAAAAAGTAATAAGATGAAAATGGAGACCAGGAAAGGACAATCCATGAATCTTACATCTGCTACAAGGAGAAAGAAAAGGAGGGAAAGAGCCCATCAATATCTTTGCTCTTAAATGTCCAGTGACTTGAGAATAAGAAAGATTTATAGTCCAACCTTTGATGCCATTTTCTGAAAGTGCCACACTGGACTTAAATTCAGCTGCTTTCAGAGGTGTGTACCTTTCTGAGCTAGATAACAGGCAGGTGGCATTTGCTGGCTTACAGTCCCTTATCTGCCCCTCTGGAGACTTGGAGAGTTGTTCCATCTTCAGGTGGTTTACTAGTTCTTTCGATACTCGTTCTTCCTCACTTTAAGTCTCTCCCAGTCACATTATTCTATTTTTATTTATTTATTTATTTTTGAGGTGGAGTCTTGCTCTGTCACCCAGTCTGGAGTGCAATGGCAAGATCTCAGCTCTCCGCAACCTCTGCCTTCCGGGTTCAAGCAATTTTCCTGCCTTAGCCTCCTAAGTAGCTGGGATTATAGGCACACGCCACCACGCCTGGCCAATTTTTGTATTTTTAGTGGAGACAAGGTTTTACCATAATGGCCAGGCTGGTTTTGAAGTCCTGGCCTCAAGTGATCTGCCTGCCTTGGCCTGCCAAATTGCTGGGATTACAGGCATGAGCCACTACACCCAGCCCTAGTCACATTATTCTAGCCTCTTTTATCCAAAAAATGAGCAGATAGCATTCTTTTGCAGAAGATGTCAGAAGAATGAAAGTGAAAACTTATGAAGTGTGTTTACATTGAACATAAAAG